CAGAGGTAGTTTATGTTGCCTCCTTTTTTTCCTGTGTAGGTCACACTTTCCTTTTGCTTAGCCTATCTTGTAATTTTTGTTGAAGACTGGACATTTTAAATAATATTATAGCAATGTTGGATACTAATTCCACCCACTGCTTGCTTATTAAGTAATTTGGCTGGATTGATTTAGTAAAGTCTATTTCTCCTGCTGTTGGTAGCCTCTGGTGTTGCTCCTTAGAGGGGGCAGCCTTGATCATGGATACAGTGTCCCTGACAACCAGGAATGATTGGTGTTTCTGCTGAGTTCTCTTTGACTCTTTCCTTCATCTTCCCACCAAGCTTCTGGCTGGTCTGGTTCTATTGGTATCATACCCAGCTGTTAGCCTTCATTAATTACTAGCTTATTGCTCTGTTGCTTTCAACAACACCCTGGGACAGTAACTGCTGCATATTCTGATCTAATCAAAGTCAGACCCCTTTTCAGGGACCTTTTTGGCAGTCTTTGAGGTTTGCTTCAACCCCAATGGTCTCTTTCTCTGGTTCTGTTATACATCTAGCTGGTCCTCTCTTTTGCTTGTTGCTACTAATATTGTGGAATTATGGTCTCTTAATGGTTCTTTCTCTGGTTCTGTTAAATGTCTAGCTTGTCTGCTGTTTTGGTCTCTTAATGGTCTCTTTTTCTGGTTCTTTTAAACATCTAGCTGGTCTACTGTTTTGCTTGTTGCTACTAATATCATGGAACTTCCAGCTGCCTCTTAATTGCTCACCCCAAAGACCTCCATTGTTTTCCACAAAGTACTTAGGCATAAACTCCCCACACTTTGTTCCAAAGAAAGTCAGTCCTTCCAGGCAGCATTCTAGAGCTCTCTATTTTATAGCCTCTCCCCTTGAGCAAAACTTCTGTACTGCTGCGCTGGATCTGGGGATGGGAACAGTGGCCCACCTGTCTTGTGGTAACAGCCCTGTTCTACAAGTGGGGTGCTGGGTAGGGACCGCAGTTCCTGGGCTTCTCAGCACATCCCTCGTAGCTACAGAACTTCTTTTTTTTTTTTTTTTAAGATTTTATTTATTTATTTGAGAGAGAGAATGAGACAAAGAGAGAGCATGAGAGGGGGGAGGATCAGAGGGAGAAGCAGACTCCCTGCCGAGCAGGGAGCCCGATGCGGGACTCAATCCCGGGACTCCAGGATCATGACCTGAGCCGAAGGCAGTCGCTTAACCAACTGAGCCACCCAGGCGCCCCTAGAACTTATTTTCTTAAAAGATTTTATTTATTTATTTGAGAGAGAGAGAGCATGAGCAAGGGAGGGGCGAGAGAGAGGGAGAAGCAGACTCTCCACTGAGCAGGGAGCCCTATGCAGGGCTCAATCCCGGGACCCTGGGATCATTACCTGAGCTGAAGGCAGACGCTTAGCTGACTGAGCCACCCAGGTGTCCCTGTAGAACTTTTTTTTAATGCCTTGGTTCTTGCTCTTTCATTATATTTTATCGTAAGTATTCTTTAATCATTTTCCTCACAAGAGTGTCCACTGATGGTTCCAGGTCCATGTTTAGATCTCCCTACAGGAATATGTCTATGCTAGACACAGCAGATACTCGCTGAACACTTCTTGACAAGTTTTTATTGCATTCTGATAAGTTAATTAAAAATAATTTGATTGATTTGCTCCAAAGTGAATTAAAGCAGTGCTTCTCAGACTAGAAGGTACAAACCAAACATCTGGGGATTTTGTTAATATGCAGATTCTGATTGGACAGGCCCAAGAGTCTTCATTTTTACCAGTTCCCAAGTGATGGCAGTATCCTAGACTGTACTTTGTGAAGCAAGGAACAAAAAGACGGTGCTAAGCTAGGAAGATTCAACAGCATAAAAATGTTAGCTCTGTTTAAGTTGAGGTGCGAAATCATGGTATTCCAATTAAAATAACAAGGAGTTTTTTTTTTTAAGGACTTAAATTGGCTCAAAAATTCTTTTGGAAAAATAAATAATAATATCCCCCAAATTCTTAAGTAGATGAATGGACTAGCTCTACTAGATACTGAAACATGATAAGAAGTTACAGTATTTAAAACAAGCTCATGAATAGACTGGCAGATCAAAGAAAAAAGAGAAGTCCTATGATAAGCCCCAATACAGATCACAGAGATGTCATGTATATGATCAAGTAGCTGATAAAGTTTTGATATTGATGCATTTAGTTTATGGTAAAGGTATTGCAGTGGGGCACAACCAGATTATTCAATAAGTGATTTGGGATGACTAGGTAGTCATTTGGGAAAAAACAAAGTTGGAGCTATATATGTTATGGTGAAATTAATCCAGATGTATCAGATTTAAATATAAATGATAAAACCATTAAAGTCCTAAACTTAATAGTGGGAACATTTTTATTATAATCTTGGATCGGGGAGGACTTTTGAAGTATAAAACCCAGAAACCATGAAATCAATGTATAAAGTCAGTTATATAAAAGTAAGTTTTTCTGCATAGCAAAAACCATCATATGCAAAGCCAAAAAATAAATAACTGGAAAAATGTGTTGGCTAATATCACAGGGAGTAAATTTTCTTTTTCTTTTTTTTTTTTTTTAAAGATTTTATTTATTTATTTGAGACAAAGAGAATGAGAGAGAGAGAGCACATGAGAGGGGGGAGGGTCAGAGGGAGAAGCAGGCTCCTTGCCGAGCAGGGAGCCCGATGTGGGACTCGATCCAGGGACTCCAGGATCATGACCTGAGCCGAAAGCAGTTGCTTAACCAACTGAGCCACCCAGGCGCCCCTAGGGAGTAAATTTTCTTAAAACACAAATATCTTTTACAAATTAGTGGAAAAATCTAACAAAAAACTAGACAAAATGGGCAAAAGATTTATACAGTTTACAGAAAAGCCAGAAAGTCTCAAACTTATGAAAAATATTCTACCTCACTCATAAGGAATGCAGAATAAAACTAATGAGAGACTACTTCCCCCTCTCCTAGATTAGCAATGATAAAAAATTTGGTAAGACTGTTGAGAGAATGGTCAAAAACACAGGCAGCCTCAGACATTGGTGCAGAGGCTTAATCGTTAGAGAAGGCAATTTAGCATTCTGTACCAAACATACATATATGCTCGTGGCAGGGCTTCTCAACCTAGACACCACTGACATTTGGGGTCAGCTAATTCCTTCTTGTGGGGGACTGTCCTGTGCCCAGTAGGGTGTTTCGTGGCATCCCTGGCCTCTACCTACTAGGTGTCAGTGGCCCTCCCATAGTTGTGACAACCAAGAATGTCTCCAGACATTGCCATGTCTCCTGGGAGCAAAATTGTCACCCCTGCCCCCCCAATTGAGAACCACTGTCTTAGAACAGGCAATTTCACTTTCACTAGTTCATCCTACTGATGTACTTGCACATTTACAGTATGACTCCACCCAGAAGATTAGTAATCACAGCATTGTTTATCGTACTAGCAGGAGATTGAGGAGCTGAGTTGACTGTGAGGACTTGTTAAAATTAGGGTACATCTACACAATGGAAAATGATGCAGCTGTTAAAAAGAGGGTTTTTTTAATGTGCTGATACAGCTGGACTGATATTTATTGAGGGAAAAAAGTTGGAGGAGTAAAAGTGAATAGCATTGGCTACTCTTTGGACAAAAAAGGTAAATTTATATGTTTATGTGAGTGTAGATCTCTAGAAGAATATGCAAAACCTAAAAATAGTGTATGCTTCTGGGAAGAACTGTGTGGCTGGGGACAGGGTAGGATAGGAGATTGTCACTGTATACTCTTATACCATTTAAATTGCATGTATTGCCTATTCAAAATAATTGTTAAAATGAAAAATGGGACGCCTGGGTGGCTCAGTTAGTAAAGCGTCCCACTCGCCTTGAGATAGTGCCCAGTGACAGGCTCTATGCTCAGTGGGGAATCTGCTTGAGATTCTATCTCTCTCCCTCTGCCCCTCCTGCTCATGTACTCTCTCTCTCTCTCAAATAAATAAATAAATCTTTAAAATAAAATAAAAAACAGAAGGACATTGCTAATTCAAAAAATCCACTCAAAAGAAAAAGGCTAGTTAATTTTACTGAATGATCATTTTAAAAATAAAACTTAAAAAGACCGAGATTCCTCAAACAATTGAATACTATTGATCCAGCAATTCTACTTCTAGGTACATACCCAATATCACTGAAAGCATGAACTTGAAGAGATGTTTGTGCACCCATGTTCATAGCAGCACTATTCATGATAGCCAAGGGGTAGAAGCAACCCAAGTGTCCATTGGCAGATGGAGAAGCAAAATGTAGTATATACATACAATAGGATATAGCTCAACTTTAAATAGGAAGGAAATTCTACATATGCTACAACATGGATAAACACTAAAGACATTATACTGGGTGAAATAAGCCAGTCACAAAAGGACACGTATTATATGATTCCACTTACACGAGGTACTTGAGTGAAATTGATAGAGACGGGAAGTAGATGGGTGGTTGCCAGGACTTAGGGGAAGGGGTTCTGGGGAGTCAAGTGTTTCATGGGTACAGGGGTTTAGTTTTGCAAGATGAAGAAAGTTGTGGAGGTGGATGGTGGTGAAGCTCATACAGCACTGTGAATATACTGAATGCCACAGAACTGCACAATTAAAAGTGGTCAAAATGGGAAATTTTATGTTACATATATTTTACAAAAAGACAGGAAAGTGAGTTGAGACTGGTCAAAGTGTACTTAGTACACAGTTTTCCCCCAGAAAACCCACCAAACCTAAGAAATCACAATAAGGAAAAACAAATTCCTTAATAAAGGAAGGACGGAAGAGAAAAAAGTCTGTTTTAGACCGCACTTTAGTGTTTCTGAGCTGGATGAAAACATCACCATTTGTAAAAAAAAAAAAAAAAAAAATCATCATGTTGAAAATTTCAACATTATTTTGAGAACCACATTGAAACTGGGGAGAGATGTCAGGGCCAGTAAGTCCCATAAGCCAGAACTGCCAGGATCCTTGGTTTAATAGGTCCTTCCCAACCCAGGACCGGGCCAAGGCCGAGGCTGTGAACCAGAAGCTCCGCAAACAGCTGGCCGAGTTCCGCGCGCCGCAGGTGATGATGTACGTGCGGGAGAAGGTCTTAAATGGGGACCTGGAGAAGACCATCAAGATGTGGGAAAGGAAAGTGGAGATTGCAGAGGTAAGTCTCAGAGAACCCCAGGACAGGCAGTCTTTTATGTCCTTCACATTCTTGTCTAGGGTTTTGCTTTTCAAGCTAAGAATACCAAAGTTCAGACATGTGATGTCTGTGCGAAATTCCAGCAGTCCCTTCAAGTCTTGTAGGAAAATGAAGGATATTTTAAGTTCCCTTTTCAGTGTTAGGGACAGGGCCTTTTCAGGTGATCAGGAAGAGACTCGGTAGTAATTGTGTGTTTTTAGTTGCTTGTTTTCTTAATGAATTCTGGAAGTTTCTGAATCCCTTCCCCCACCATTTGGTGATTTAGGGATTGCTACTTTATACATGGAGAAGCCAGTTTTTTTTTAAAAATTAGATAATAATGGATTTTTAATATCACTCAGAACCCGATTCCATGCATTTACATAGTTGCCATGGGTCTTTCATTTTTGATAACCCCACAGCCTTTCCGTGTGATACAGTGTGCTCAGAGCACCCTAGCCCCTTGTGAGTGCGGAAGAGAAATGGGAAACATGCAAAGGGTCAGAATAAAGGAAAGGAAAGCACCAGGTCTGCCACAGGCCGGGTTGCATACTGAGGACACTGGAGACATCAGCAGAGTAGCTCAGAAACCCAGGCAGGTCACTTTGGAAGCCTGGTGTTTTCACATCTAGACCCAGGCTCCTTTTCCCACAGTACTTTCTCCTGCCCTTCCGGTGGCCACTTGGTGGCAGGGAGTGAATTAGGATCCAAACTTAGGCCCGTCAGATTTGGAGCTGAGAAGTAGCACCGCAGGAACCTGCAACTTCTCACTTCACTGAACAGAAACAAGCTCTTTGGAAGAGTCTTGCAGCCTGGCACTGCCCCACACAGATTCCTCTGCATCCTCACAGGGCTAGATGTGGGTTGCATTCTGAAAAATCACAATTGCTTTTTCCCAAATAACCTTCTCCCCACCCCCCCACCCCCTTTTTCCTTTTTGCAGATGTCCTTAAAAGGCTACCGCAAGGCGTGGAATAAAATGAAAACCACCAATGAGCAGTTGCAGGCAATTTGCCCCCCTGAGAAATAGCCAGAGGGAGGCCACGGCTACAGACCAGAGTGATCCATTAAAGTAATCAGCTCCTTTCCAGTCAAGGGGTCCTCTCACTGTTTCCTGTGCTGCTTGGTGTCCCTGACTCTCCGGCCGGGCACTTCCCTGGCCACATTTGCCCGTGGGGAGTGTTTGCACAGCCTGGCCCCTGGAACCGTTAACACTGAAAGAACCACAGGGCACTCTAATGGTTTGACACTTGTTAGCCCACATTTAGTTCACAAGCACAAAAGAAAGTGACCTTCCCGCGTGTGGGAGTGGGACAGAGAAGAGAGAGCCAGCCCAGTATGCACTGTGGGCCTGTCCGTGGCAGCCCAGGTGTGCCACCTATAAAAAAAACAGACACCAAAACAGCATGGTGGCTGCCTGGCACTCAGCATTCTGAGCTTACTCTTCAGTTGGGAGGGTTAGCTCCTAGACTAGATATCATTGCAAAAGAAAACAAGCACAAAGAAAAACAAGATAATTTCTTGGGGCTGATGTAACCTGTTCTGACCTGAAATAGGCCCACTACCCTCCCCAGCCTCCCCATAATAGTCAGAGTAAATGGGATCTGCGGACACAGCAGAAGACTTGCCTAATTCCCCTAACCCTTTCTCCTCAAGGTCTGGAGACTCTGTAGAGCTATTTGTTGGGAATGTATATAAGGTGACCTTATTTTGTTCTTGCACGTCTGCTTGGGACTGTTCACCGTGGCCCAGCCCAGAATGTTTTTTCGGTGTCACGATGATATGTGATGAGTAGCTGGAGAAAGGAAATGGTTCCTCCCAGTGGTGGAAGGAAGACAGAGGACGGCTGGTTTTCTTAGTCTTGGACATAATCCAGTCGCTATAGTCTTCCACGTTGATGTACAGAAATAGGCCAGGGCAATTCTCACCACCGTGGGACAAGATTCCTCTCAGCACCCACATATTCAGTTGCTGTAGCTGGCACATCATCGGGTTTCCTGGGTCCCCCTGTGACAAAAGACAGAAGGCTTCAGGTCTTAGAAAAACTTGTTTGTTTTTTAAAATATATCCTTGTGCAATTTACTATGTGTTCTAGAAATGTTTTACACTAGTTCTCACTGGAGATGGGGTAAATTATAGGATACCAATTCCAAACTAGGCGGCCACTACCACAAATTCCAACAAGATGACTTTTTCTTTTATTATGCAAATTAGTTGTAGGCTTCTGCAGTTTGGCTCTAGCTTCCTGGTTGCCATTTTCATGCCTCTGACTAAATCCTCACTCTCTTTTGGTTTCTCTTTCCTCAAATGTTGATTCCTCCCCCCCCCCCCCCCCCCCCCCCCCCCCGCCTTTCTGTCCTGAAATGCTCCCATTTTTCCTTCTCCTCTCTGCTTTGTTTCCATCCTTCATTTAATCTGCTCCCTCCTCCGCACACTCCTGCGGAGGTCAGAGTCACACTTCCCTGGGAGCACTGGCCAGGCAGCTTCACAACCTGGCCACCCTGACGACTGCCTGTCTGGGTCCCCTGTTCATCAGCCCTGCCCATGCTCCCACAGGAAGTCCTCTGCCACTCGGCAATTCTGCCACACAGACCCTGTCTCCCTTCAAGGGAGTGCCTGGAAGCTTGGCCTCCTTCCCCACATACGTGACCCTGGTGAGTCACCTACTGGTCTCCGAGTTAAAGTGCCTGTACCTCATGCAGAGCTCCTAACACAGTGCCTGGCATACAGTCTGCATTCAATATAGAATTAGTTACCATTATCCTTGTGTCTAGAAAAGGCCATCAGTTTTAGGTGGAAAGCTGAGAAATACGGGAATAGTAACAAGACAACTGCCAGGTATAATTTACCTTACCTGCCCCACCGCAAGCCTCCTCTTAAGGGAATACCTGACCCCCCACTCCAGCCCCGTAGTCCATTTTGCCCCAAGAGGGGTTGTCATTCAAAGGCTAGACAGCCCCTTTAATTTGCGTGGTCTGCCTCTGTAGAAGGATGGGGCAAGCCCACATTGCTCTTGCTGTCGCAGGGTGCCATGGAGCAGAGGGAAGAGATTTCATCCCAAGTCCTGGCTGGCAGTGAGAAGGACTGTTGAACCGGCTCCCGTCTGCACCCGATCATGTCTGCCTGGGGCAGAGAGGCTCTCGGGCCAAGCATGGCCTGGTCGCCCCTCCTGTCACCAGTCCCGCCTCCAGTTTACTTTAACTGTGGTTTCATAGCTTGAAGAAGAGAAACGATGCAATTTAGGACAAATGGTTTGATGAAAGACTGTGTAGCAGACCTGCCCGGCTGTGGCATGGTTTTGCATGTCGCCGTTCCACCCCGGGGGTAGAATACACTGCTTTTCTCTTCCTCATAACCTGTGGGACAGGACTTCTGAAGCCCAAGCAGCTGAGAGAAGTCGTACAGGGGCGCCTCTGGAGCAGCCCCACCTCATCTCCCAGGGGAGCAGCCCCAGCTTAGAGGGGCTCTTTGTGTGATCCTCAACCCTAACAGTTGTGGGGAAAAGGGAAGAGGTGAATTCAGAGTGATTCTGCTTTGGGTTGGGTTTCTGGGGACCCATTAGACAGATACTGGACTTGGGTGGTTTATTCTACTACCCTCTACATATTTGAATGACTTTGAGGATCTCTGGACCCTAGAACACTTTTCTGAGAGAAAAGGATCCTAGGTAGACAAGTCACTGTTTGTCTGTCTGAGCCAGTTTGCCAGCACAGTTCAAAAACAAAGGACTGACTGCGGGGGTGCTCCAGGTAAAAACCAATAGATAAAAACCAATCTGAACTTTGCAGTTAGATTTAAAGAGGTAATCATTTAGAGTATGAGCAGCTTACCATATTCCTTTGAATCTAAGATGCTCTTGAAAAATGAACATCTTTGGAATGAGATGTGTCTTTTAATTGGTTGATGTCAGAGTTCAACTGGCAGCATTTTCTCTCTCTTGATATTCCATTAAATAATGGTGCATTCTACAACTGACAGCATCTTAGGTTTGATGAAATAAGGTGCTGGATCGATGGAATGGCTGATAGCAGGATTTGATAAATAGCTACGTTTTCTACTGTATTTTAACACATTATCTACTTTAAAAAGTCGTTAGTCTTCCACCTGGTAGAGAGTCCAGTACAAAGTAGGCACTCAGGGGCGTGTGGGTGGCTCAGTCAGTTAAGTGTTAAGATCCCAGGGTCTTGGGATCTAGCCCTGAGTCAGGCTCCTTGCTCAGCGGGGAGTCTGCTGCTCCCTCTGCCTCTCCCCCCTCCCCCGCCCCCACTTATGCTCGCTCTTTCTCTTTTGCTCACTCTCTCTCTCTCAAATAAGTAAATAAATAAAATCTTTTTTTTTAAAGATTTTATTTATTTATTTGAGAGAGAGAATGAGATAGAGAGAGAGCATGAGAGGGGGGAGGGCCAGAGGGAGAAGAAGACTCCCCGCTGCGCAGGGAGCCCGATGTGGGACTCGAACCGGGGACTCCAGGATCATGACCTGAGCCGAAGGCAGTCGCTTAACCAACTGAGCCACCCAGGCGCCCATAAATAAATAAAATCTTAAAAAACAGCAACAACAAAGTAGGCACTCAATAAATGTTGAACCAACTTTGGAAAGGCAAACTTACTGCCTAAGGAAAGGCAGTCCTTCACGCATTTGCAATAAAATTACTTTTAGAAAGAATTGTCCCCTTTCTCTAAAATGCTTTCCTTAGATCATCTGGAAAAAAAATTTCCCCACCAGGGAATCCTGCAAGTTACTTGAAGGAGAATAGATGATCAGCACTTTAGAAATTTTGGTGTAGAAGAGAGAAACTGCCTGGAAATCTGGTGGACCTATGTTCTCATCCTTACTGTAACATTAACTGTGTGACCTCTGTAAACCACACCTCCTCTGGGTATGGACATGAGGGAGCCTGGGCCAATGGTTTGTGAATTCCATCCATTTTGCTGAGGCAGTAGAACAACCACATCTATGCAGCCCTCATCTGGATGAAGGGCAGGGCTTCTTACAGAAAAAAACTTCAATAACTGATGAGCAATAGCATCAGAGTCTAGGTTCCATAGAAGCCGAATACAATGACCCCACCCTGTGGACATACCCGAAGTATATCTGCATGCATGGTTTGGACTCACACTTTCAAACTTTTAGCCAGTGAGAAACATCTATGACTTAGACATGCTTAATCATGTCACATTGAAAATGGTGACTGTTTAGTCCATTCAGTAGATTTTTATTGAGCATCTACTGTCTGCCAAGTGCTGGAGACAGCCATGAATCCCAAGTGCCAGTCCCTACCAGTGCCTCATGGAGTTCACCATGCAATGAGGGAGAGTCTCCCTTCTCCCACCTCCTTTGAAGTGACCACTGCTTACTCTCAGCCTTTAGCTTTTATTCCATCACGTTCTTACCAAGCAGACAGCATCGGTTTCCTGCTGTATGTGATTGCCACATCCTGTTTTCTTGATTTTGTGTAAGGGACACAGGTCGATGTCTTTCACGGAGATTTTCCTCAGGATACTCATCGTCATGTGATTTCCTGTCTGGACCATGCAACAGAGAGCCAAGAATTATTAATAAGAATACATTGCCTGTATGTCAACTCAACTACAGCTCACATATCCAGATGGGAACGAGTAGAAAATGCTCTGATAAACCCCTTTTCCTTATAGAAATTAGAATTTGCTTTGAACTTGAATGTGAAATGAACTTGAATGTGAAAATCAAGAACATATTCTACCCTTCTTCCACATCTACGGAGAATACATTTCCTTGTTCATTTCCTAAGAATAAAAGAAAACAAGGATGGCTTAGCCAACAGGATAATCAGCTCCAGTTCAGGGAATAATCTCCCCTGGCCCCCCCAAAACTTTGCACTCATCTCAGGCTGTTTGCTGCCTACGTACTTCTAATTTTGCTGTAGGACTAGAAGAAAAAGGACCAAATGTAAGAATGGCCACAGAAAAGGCAAGCATTACAAATCTTGACTGATTACATGAAGTTTCCAGCCCAACTCCAGAATCTTGAGCAACCTGAATTATTAAGATAAGCCCTAGAATGGTTCATCCAAGTCACCCCCTCCACTAGCACACACACAGCCTCCTCTAGGAGAAGGCAGGCATTAACTGCAGATGTGGGATTCCATCCTGCCACCCAGCAGTTCCGCAAGGCTCGGGGCATATTCAGGTTTCTGTCGAGGAAGCAGATGGGCTGGATCAGATTGTTGAACCCTATCGGCGTGTCTGTCTTCAGGAGGGCTATGTTATTTGTCATGGTTTTATTATCAAAATCCTCATGGATGATGATGGTATTGACTGGATACTCTTCATGAGCAATCACTTTGGCATCCATCTTAGCTATACCAACTATAACGATGACGTCCTTCCTAGAGAGAGAGAGCGAGCAAGGGAATCTTGAGAAGCCAAGGCACGATGGAAGAGTCACTCTTCCCTGTTTCCATATTTACTTTTTTTTTGCTTGGAATACTCATCCAACTCATTTTTCCTGGGCTAATTTTTACTGACCCCTTTGGACCCAGTGCCTAGGAAATCTT